GATATTTTCACGAAACGTTTGTTCGCCACCACAGCAACCTAACTAAATGTATTATATTTTTTGTATTTTTATAATTGATATGCAAATATTTATTGCTTTTATCATAAATCACAAATATACAATAAATATAATGTATTTAGTTAGGTTGCTGTGGCCTGTGGTGGCGAACAAACGTTTCGTGAAAATATTCCTCCCCCCTGTCATGTAGTACACGAGGTGTTTTCGCGAACTTGCGTGTGACTTTTAAATTATTTCTTTTGAATTCAAACAGGACAACTATTATGGGAGGTTTTTTCCTCCCAAGTACCAATAATATTTTCAATTTTTGGATTGGTACTATTCTACAAGGAAGTACTCTTGGATAATGTAATCTAAATACATATGAAAACGAAGAAGTGGCATTTATCGGGCAGAGAAGCGGCGAGCCATTAAAATGGCGGCAATTTGACGAAATATCGAAGGACACAATATCGAAGATAAAATACACTGCACTGTTTCAAAAGTGGATGAAACCTTCTTTGAAATCTTCGTCAGCCATTTATGATTATATAAAAGTACAATAACTGGATGATATTTGCGAGATTCGGCGATAAAAAGCAAACAAGACGGCAAAATATGGCTGAAATCGTGTTTTCGTGGGGGGTAAGTGAAATAAAATGTATTATATTTAAAGAAAACAATGACAATCCTTATGAAATCAACAATATTTATATTAAATTAAGCATAGTTTTTCACCCCATAATAATTTTTTTTAGGAAATAAGAATATTTAATTTCTGCCAGGCATATTAGTTATTTTGTGCATAATCAGCAATTTACCTGGGGTGGTGCATAGTCATTTTCTGGTAAAATATTATACTTAGACAAATTTTTCCTTCCAATGACCACCCCTAAAAGCAACCCTTCTAAACACTATAAGCACTTCAGAAAGGCTATCGCTTTTCCTTTTTGGAAGTTAGAGCTATGTCGACACTGCCGTTTCAGGGCGGGGTCATTTTCAGGACTTTCGTCCCGGATTCAGGTTTTCGCACATATGCCATGTTGACCGCCATGGTCATTTTACCCTAAAACAGTTGAGATTACCTGTCCTAAATGAATCGCATACAAACTCATATACAGGTCCTAGACTATTGTTAGCTACATGACTTCATAGTTAACACAAACACTATGATAATATACAATAGTACAACAGTACTTTTTAGTAAAGATTGAAATATCTGCTCAAACTGTTATTGTAGCTCCAAACTAGCTACACAAACAACCTTTTAAATTTGCACTAGCCAATATAAATCCCATACTCTCATGACATGCTGGAGAAATATTGTAGAAATATTTGAGTACAGTAGTTGTTTACAAGCATAATCTTGAAATAAGAGATGTAATAAAGAAAGGACAGAAGAGTGATATTTAAAATTGATTCTTATCTCGGGGTTAGGGAGGCGGGCATTTACATTGACTGGTGCATTAGTGTATAATCATTTAACTTACACAAGTAACCACTAGAGGAAATCTGGGATGTAACTAGTCACAAATATTAAAGAAAATATTAAATATTGGCTCGACTAGTTATTTATCCAAATCTTGCTTCGACAGAAACTAGTTGGAGCATTGCATTATTGCTTTATAACACAGGGTTCGATATAATGTTTTGGAACATGAAAATACTGTGGCGGTAAAACTATGCACACTAGCAGTCGTAGAGTAGCCTGCCTAACCTGGTTGGCCTCTCACTTGTGTCAGAAGCATGTTGTTTCACAAAATTAAAGGATTTATGAATTTGAAAATCTTACTACTTCTTGAAAATTGTCAAATCATCATATCAAAAAGGTTGATGATGTTCTCAGTAATGGATCTACTCTATCACTGCATCGTTCATGCTACCCATTCATAACAGACCTCTGACCAAAAGGTTTTTACAACTGGCACCAACAAAATAACATTTTGTACAAATAATTAGAAATTCTGTTGTCCGTGTAATTTGCATGGGGCTTAAAGGGTATGGGCAATGAAAATTGCTTCATCTATGTTATTGCTTCATCTGAAAGAGCATGAAAAAATAAGCCGATTGGCCGTTTACTGCTCTATTCTATCTCATCTGGTTCCGAAGTTATACGCAAAAATGTGCAAAATAGAAATTGCTGATTCAGCACAATGTGTGACGTCATAAGCTGGGTAAGTATGTTTATTGAATAGTAAACTAAAGCATAGCTGAGTTATTATTGGCTCAAATCAAATGAAATTTTGCATACAGATAGTACATGATGAGATGCATGGAAAAATACTTATAATTTCGTTGTCAAGGCAACACAGTCGTTCCCAGGCCCCTTACACTGATTTTGAATAACTAGTTGCATTTCTCTATGTGTACGTCATTTTCGAATGATTATCATGCAAGTAAACTTTCGGCATGCATAGGTATCGTACACATACTTTTGATATTATTTTATTTTTACCAGTACCTTGAATAAAGCTGTTTTATAAAATTGGCGCAAGGGGCCTGGGAACGACATTGTTACCTTGGCAACAAAATTAGAAGTGTTTTTCCATGTGTCTTATCATGTACAATCAGTATCCAAAATTTCATTTGATTTGGGCCCATAATAACTGAGCTATGCTTCAGTGTAGTATTCAATAAACATACTTACCCAGTAAATGACGTCACACGTTGTGCTGAATCAGCAATTTATATTTTGCACATTTTTGCGTATAACTTCGGAACTAGATGAGATAGAATAGAGCATTAAACGGCCAATCGGCTTATTTTTTCATGCTCTTTCAGACAAAGCAATAAGATAGATGAAGCAATTTTCATTGCCCATACCCTTTAACCCATCGAATGACAGCACTCTACCCCTGACGAGTAAAATCATCTGGCTTTAGAGATAGTAAAATAATAAAGTAGCTAGGGCACATCCAGGCGCATTTGCCACTTTAAGTGTTAATATTTGTCAGATAGGCCAAGTCACCCAGGAAAATCAATTTTCACAAGCTGGTGGCCTGTTAGGTGGCCTAATTCGAGTATTTGACACCCTACAGGGTTTTCTGAATTCTGAAATGACAAATAACATAGTTGCTGATAGTCACTTTAAGCAAAAGGGAGTCCTTTTCAGCACTGAAATATTGTTCATGCCGATCACTTAATGCAAGGCCTAATGATGCAGACAAGGTGGATGTATATATGAAGTAACTCTCATCCAGTGCACTTACTTGCATTTTCAACCTTTTCAATAATACTTAACCTCAATGGATGAAGACAAAACCTGCACCCACAAGATTCACTTTCTTTCTTCATTCCACACTTGCAAAAACCTGGATCTTTCACACGTTTGGGGACATAACTCTGCGAACTTGAGGTGGTAGGCTTTGCAGATTTGTAGCCCTTTTCACACAACCAAATGAGAGAGACATATTCGTGCATAAAAACTTGTTCCCACCTGTTCTGGTAATTAGAGTTTTTACAATACCTTGAAATGGAAATATGTTTGGCTTCCCTGCCCTCCATGGAATTTAAACCGAGACCCATATTGTATTTTGCTTTCATCTCTTTTGCATGAGTGGGCACAATTTGTCCTAAAGTCCAAACTGTAGGATGATGATCGAAAAAGATATAGTTCAGGGTAAAGTATATTTTACAATGGGTTCCTGGCTCCAGGAGTTGTTGGTCGCTTATTTCAATTCGACTGAAAAGCGAAACACATTCACGCAGAGTCAAACCAAAATATGCCAAAACATGATAAGTATGTTCTTTTTTGCACTTAGTTCAACAGCATCGATTAAATACATGAAATTTTGTAAGAATAATCTGGAATCTTTTCCAGTAAAACGATAATCAAATGCTTTACCATTTGCCCCAGTTTCGTTGAACCATCTCACAATCCTATTTGCAAGGCGAGAAAGTTTACATTTTGTTTTCATTGCATTAACATACCGTGCAAAGGGTGAACTACCAGGAATTTTGGAAAATATTGTCTTGGTTCCTTCTCAAGGGAATATATATCAGTTAGAAGCAATAATGAACTGTTGAGCAGGAATACAGTTTTCACTGCAGTTTGCCCCAAAAAGTAAATAATTCTCGTTGCTGCTTAATACCCCTCTCCTGATATTTAGAAAACTAACCAACCATGCACATGAAGTGTCATCCTTCCCAAATGGTGCGCCATCACCTCCAAGAGAAATAACAAATGTATAAGGTGCACCAAACCAGTTAATCAAATGACCGCTACATCCTGACAGATATAACTCTGCCAGTTTAACTACCATCTCCTTGAGACTTCGATAACATCCACATACTTTGTCACTTTCATCCAGTCCATCGCAAAGTGTGTCATAAACATTAAAATTTGTACCCAAATCTATTGAATTAACATAGGGCATTAAACGGTTATAGGGGACAAGCCTTGGCAAAGGGCAATTATGAATGGATAGCTGTACGCGTTTACTATTATTGCTATCTACATTGTAACAACTATCTTTATAAAGCTTCCTATACTTTTGTTTACCCGTAATACTACCACTATAATATACTGCAATGCTTCTCGCCATATTTTCCACAGATGATTCATATGACTTTAACTTCTTTCTATATATGCAAGGCAACAATTAATTGAGAAACTTTGTGCTTGAAGACATACTATTAACTAAAATGTCTTTTGAGCATTTAGCTAATGCAGTATCTATAAGACCAATTGGTCCAGGTGCTGATAACTCATCCTTTCCTCCATGAATTTTTCTAGCTGCCTCGAATGTGGCTTTTCTTCTTTTCCTGGCTAATGCTGCACTTACACTGATCTTTCCATCTTGAGAATATGTCGGAATCCTCCATCTACTCTTTTCTGTGCTATTACTACCATGTTCCGAACTACCCTTTGCTTCCTGATCTAACTCATCTTTCACTTCCTGCAAACCCTCAACCTCCTTCACAATCTTCTCGACCTATATATTGACAAACTATAGTTCATAAACGCAATTGATTATATCATGTTTAGTACGGGAGGTATAGCCCATTGAGTTGCATTGCGCCCCACTTTATTATTTTACGTTGTCTAAAGGCTCTTTTCCACTAATCACACAAGTCAACTCGCAAGCTCGCTGCGAATACTTTCATCCAATCACAATACCCGACAGTTTATTATAATCGGATGCAAACACTCGCAGTGAGGTTGCGAGGTGGTTTTTGCCATGAGTGGAAAAGAGGCTAGACGCCAGACAATTTTACATGTCAAGGGGAGAGCGCTGGTGCTTAATGGGTTAAACACAGGCTCTTGAGCCGAAGCACAAAATTAAAGGAGATTGGTAATTTTGCTAAACACAAAATGGTTTAGGGTTGAGATAAGTTTTGGGTAGATTTTGTGGGTAGGTATAGGGTTTAAGGTTCGGTTTAGGGTAGGTTTAAGGTTACTAGGTTATGGCTAGGATAGGTTTTGGAGTAGGTGTAGGGTTTAGGGATAGGTTTAGGGTGGGTTTAAAGTTAGGGACAGGTTGGGGTAGGTTTTGGAGTAGGTGTAGGGTTTATATGAACAGGTTTAGGGCAGGTTTTGGTTTAGCTTTTGGGTTAGGTTTAATAGGATTGGGTTTTGTGTGTGTAGAGAAATAACTTGCAGCGAAACGACTGGTACGGCATAAATTTAACAAAACATAACAAAATTAAGTACCTTCTCATCAAGCCGTTGGCATTTCACTTTCATTCTGGACAGTTCTTTTGTTTTGTTTTTCCAAAGTTCGTCCTCAAGTCCTTTTATTCCACGGTTCTTCATGACAATTTGCTGCAGTAAACGTTTCTTTTCCTTTGCGAAATCACCAATATTAAATGTTGGCATGGCGACGAGCGAAGCCCAAACGCAGCTCGCGAAATTCAATGAAATACGGCAACTTCCAGGCCAAATATTAAAAAACTAAAACCAAGGCATCTTGGTTTTCATATCAAGTGATTGTCTTTCAGCGATAATAATCGCTTTAACGTAAATAATAAAGAATTTACACCAAGGGTAAAATTCAGTCTTCGCATGAAGAACAACTAAAAGGCCATAAACAGGCAAAATTCGATTTGATGTACCAACGATTAGATTGCACTTCGTAGGTCAGGTTTGGTATCAAAATGCTCTTCGTTATCCCATCTGTTCAGATCCGATTACACGATCCAAGTCCGAACATCTGCGATTAACACAAAAGGCATTGAATGTAGCAGATATTTCGGGATTTCAAATCAACACCAGGCCCCAAATTTGCTACTTGCACGTGCATGTGAATTATTACACATAAGTTATCGTTTTTGGAACATTTTATGCCCGACGTGATATACAATTGTTTGTAATCTATAACCAGATATCTGAATATAAATCTTTATATTAACATTGTATGTCATTTGACATAGCATGATTGTTGTATAAAATTATTGAACTTTCAAGCTGGATAAATTTTTGTATATGCATGCAAAGTTTTATTTTAGTATTGGAAAACTTTCATACTGTAGGCTGAAACATAGTAGCATGAGGTATATAGTCATTATCATGACAGTTGAGTTGCCTTGGAACTCTTACGATTTTGTGATATACACCCACAGTACATGAAGTTACACCTCAGGAAGTAATAAAGATGACAACTGTATAATCTTTATAGTTACTATATTATTTTTTTATTAAAAGCAATGCATGGTAGTATCTTTTAGCATTCTGAAGTTGAAAATGAGCTTCAATATCACAAGATTTGTCTGATGATATATTGGAATTTGTCTTGGAATATATGTCTTGAGATCTGACAACTCAGAACTGCCATTAATTAAATTATTAACACTAGCTGACATTGTACATTATATTATTTTATACCATGATATTCTAGTAAGAAGTGTATCCAGCATACAATAGTGAAATCAAATGTTGACTAGGCAACTACTACTAGACTACTTCCCCCCCTCTAAAATAGATGTAAGTCACCACGGCCTCACCCACCTTTCTAAAACTGAAATGTATTACACCCCCCCCCCCCATATCAATAGCTAGAGGATCTATGGTAAGGCACAGTAGCTATGACATTGTCATATAGCATCCTGTTTGTATGCTGCATGTCAGATGTTTTGCATGCATGTTTATGTTATTATTTAAAACAAGAACATCTTCTCGATAATGCCTGGCAATTATTGTTTCAGAACATTTGTGCCAAAAACATTTTGTTTGAATTACAGTGTTCTTGATGGGGGTTCTTGATAGAGTTCAGTCTTGTCCTCTTAATATGCAATATCACCTTCATTTAGAAAAACACTTATTCCTTCGTGTGTTGGTATGGGTACAAAATGTATACAGTAGCCCCAGCTATGAAGATTTCTATCTGATTGTTGAACTTGGTGG